TTTTGTTCTTTCTGTATCTTATCTCTAATTTTAATATACTTCTAATTTTTAGCATTTTAAATGAAAGACTTTTCAAACATAGTTATGCTATCATATGATTTATACAAATGGGAAATTATTTTTATTTGTGCTAAGAAAAGGTGGTAGAAAAAAAATAGAGTGAACAGAGGGGCATACCTAAGCTGAATTAGCTGTGTTTGTCTAGTTGCTAGCTAATCATTCTTTAAGTGTGTGATTCGTTTGTTTTTACTTACCTGTTTCAGTAACAGAGTCAGTCAAATGCACACATTCAACTTTAGATCATAGAATCAGAATAGTTTGGGTTGGAATGGATCTTTAAAGGTCATCTAGTCCATCTCCCCACAACGAGCAGGGACATCTTCAACTAGATCAGGTTGCTCAATGGCCTGTCCAACCCAACCTTGAATGTTTCCAGGTATGGGGCATCTACCACCTCTCTGGGCAACCTGTTCCAATGTTTCATCACCCTCATTGTAAAAAATTTCTTCCTTATATCTGGTCTAAATCTGGCCTCTTTCAGTTTAAAACCATAAGCCCTTGTCCTGTCTCAATAGGCCCTGCTAAAAAGTCTGTCCCCACCTTCCCTGTACCCCCCTTTAAGTACTGGAAGGCTGCTATAAGGTCTCCCCGGAGCCTTCTCCTCTCCAAGCTGAACAACCCCAACTCTCTCAGCCTGTCCTCATGGGATAGGTGCTCCAGCCCCCTGAGCATTTTTGTGATCTTCCTCTGGACCCACTCCAACAGGTCCATGTCTTTCCTCTGCTGAGGACTCCAGAGCTGGACATAGGTAGAGAATATCGTGTGTGTTAGTAAGTTTTGATAGAAGGCTGTTACAGCTTTTAATGGACAATTAATATTGTATGTTCATATTTAGGGTTTTTTTAATGAAAGTAAAATAATGGAAAAAATATTAAGATTAGACTCCTGCTGTTATTTTATGAATTTGAGTTTGATAGTTTTCATACTATTTCATATTTCAAGGATAGTGCTTCCAAACACAACATCCAGTTCTAGTAACCTGTCCATCTTTAACAAATAATTATTTTTGTTTATAAGGCACATTTACAACATGGGTGCTCTACTGATGTAATTACTGAGCTAACTATTTTCTTACAGTTTAGCCATTTGATTTTTAAAAATCCCAAAGAATTACATTCCTCTTATATTATGCATGTATGTTGCTGATAATGCCTGCTAATCTTATCAGTCATATGTTAGCAAAGTGATGGCTTTTTTGCCTAGGAGACCAACATGCAATATATAATTAGTCTGTCATTTTTATGAGCCAAATATCACATGATTGAAATCATGTTAGTGAGATGGTTTATTTTTATTTTGTATTCCAAACTATGCATTCTATTTTTAAAAAAATCTAGGTTTCCTGGAAATTGTGCAAATATGGAGTAAAATACACAGAACTAGACCTAAATCATGACAGGCATACATAATTTTTTTTTTAAATCTAAAAGTTTATAATCCCTAGAATTCTCCCTTCAGATGAAAATATGCACTCTAAACATTTAAAGACTATTCAGAGAACATTCATAGGACCAAAAAGAATGTGATTGCAAAGAAAATGTGCTCAAAATAGGGAAGAGTTTAGAAGTTGATCCCTTGGCACGATTCTATTGAACCTGAATACTGTCACTTGAAATACATCATCATCTACATAAACTTTGTAGCTGTGAGGAGTATGTCCAATGGATGCTATCATTCATTAAGAAATAAACTGTGCTGGTTATGTTGTCATTTAGTTCTTTACCTGTAGAAACAGGGAACACTAAGTTTTAAAAAATATTCAGATATATTTTTAAATGTACATAGCAGTAATTTCATATTTGTGTATTTGAGGATGTATTTACAGCTTGAATCAATATTGTAGCTAAACAGTGTTGAAAATAAATTCACTTAAATGTAGTGTAACTGTTTCCTCCTGTTCTTAAGCACTGGAAAGTGTGACACCAGTAACTACTCAGTAGATGTTCTAAAATACATAGCTCAGAAAAGGAATTTTAGTTTCCAACACTGAACATTAATAAACACAATAATGAACTTATGAATGCGTTATGTATTTTTAAAAGTGTCTAGTTTGCTGCTAGTGTTACAGCAAGGAAGTACACATCAGTAATTGCAGCTATAATCCACTTTCCTTTTTGCTTTTCTTCCAAAATTCCTCAAAAATTGAGTGTGTCGAAAGTGGTTTGAACTGGACATGGTATTTTAAATACTTTTTGACTGGCCATAGCAATTATTTCTGCCAGTGGAAAAAATTAAATAGAAGAAGAAAGTAGAATTTTTCAGTACAAGAATGCCAAGAAATGTATTGCTTCTAGTAAAAGACTGATTTGGTGTGCATTAGTGAAAATTGGTTTGCTGAGTTCTCCATGCTTGTAAAAGTTCACTGCAACTTCTTTCCCTCTGAATTTTGCATATAGAATTGTAAAGTAGGTGTTTATAGCATCGGCATTTTAAAAGTACAGATAGCTGGGCAGATCCTGTCTTAGGAGTGCCAAGAATTTTCTTTCTTTTTTATCACTGTTTAGCACATAATTTCCCCTGCCTTTTCTGCTAAGAGGAGAGTCAAGTCCCTTTTTGCTAAATTCTCTGTTTCTCCTTTTCCTTCTGATTAAACTTCTGATTGGGTTCTTCTTGTTAAGTCCCCACAGAAGCAAGGGTTCTGTATGCAAGACCCTAAGAGCAAAAGGGAAGAAACAGACAAATCAGATTTATGCTCTTCTTTCCCCTTGTCTCAATAGTGCTCTCAGTAGACTGGTCTGTATCTGCACACAAGACAGGTTTAACTACCCCTAGACAAGAACCCCTTCTAATTTGTCACTCCTCCTGTTACCACATCAGTGAGGTTAGTCAGTCAACTCCATGTAAAGCAATGGGGAAAACATTAAGGAAAAACTGGCAGATGCTTTCATTTCAAGGTTTTCAGATGAAATATAATGTGTAGCCTGGCAAATGGCCTACTAAAATAGTATATTCTGTATATACAACAGATTGAGCCAGCTAGCTTTTGGGTTTTTTTCAGAGGACTATCTTCTTGCCTCGACACTGCAGCTTTTTTGATGGGAAAGATACTCCATAAAACCTTGATACTCCATAAAACCCAGATCCTGCAAGAACAGAAAAATTGTTTGCCTGGTCACATTTTCAGTCAGTAATACAGTCAGACTGTCCTTTTGCTTTTACTTTTCTTTATTTAAAAATATATTTTGATCTACTTTTGGTACTTTATTTAGTGCTTTTGAATAGTAATAGCAATTTGTTGGGCTAATGTGCCTAAAAAAATTAGTGGTGGTGGTACTTATAGGTAGAGTATATATACCAAGCAGAGCCAGAACACCTTTCATTTATTTGGATCTAATGATATCTTTTCTATGTATTTTGTTTCAGAATTAAAGTGGCTCAGCAATCAGTAAGCAAGCTAACTGCAGAGAAGAAAGTTGAAACGAAGAAAATCAATCCTACAGCTAGCCTGGTAGGATGTGTTTCTCAGTGTGACATTCAGAAGGGGTTTTGTGACACTCTTCTCACCGTTCAGAGTGACGGCAGATTTCTGCTGTTGTTGAAGTGTGCTATAGTATGCTTAGTTTGAACACAGCAGAGCTTAGTTTGAACACAGCAGTGATTTTCTTCCCAGGGAGAAATCATTAAGCTTAATCTTATGGTAGTCCAGCAGTTAAGTTTAAAACTTAGTTCAGTTGTGCCTAAGCATGGCTCTGCTATTTTAGATAACAAAATATGATAAGAGCTGCTTTTCTGGTTTCTCCCTCCCTTCCACTGAAGTCTTTTTTATTTTCTTCCATGCTCTGTAGTGCACTGAGGCTCACTGCATATATTTGTCCAATGGCTCAGTGTCTGTTTTCTTTCAAAACCTTACAAAATCTTGCTTGCTCTGTAGAATAATGGTAGAAGGGATTAAATCCCCATTTTGTTCCTTGTTGTTTACCGCTTTTTTTAATATGGCACAAAAAGAAGACTAATAATTTACACTGCAGATAAAACCTTTGTTGTCTATATGCAAGGCACATAGGTTAGATCAGCATTTCTCAAACTGTAGGAAGCAAGAGACTAAAGAAAGGAAATGTCCATGAAGGAATCAGTGTATTATTTCCATTCCCAGCAGAGCATATCAGTTGCAGGACAGGCGGCAGAGATATGAATGACTACACTTGCTTGGGAAGAGGTCATTAAACAACAGAATCTAGCTAATGCTAAATCAGAGCCTTTATGTCAGCAGAAATCATTCCAGACAAGAGAAGGTATTAGATTCACATGAATTTGAAATGTATCTGGTTTTCTCCAGCTATGCTTGTCTTCACAGAGCTGTGTGTCTTTAAAGGTACACAGTACTTGGCAAGTGTGTAGCTAAAGCAGCTCAGTTTTTCTACAGTAATAAACTGGATCTGAGCCCTCGTTGAGTGTTCCAGGTGTTATTTTTTTTTTAATTAAAGAAATCTCTAATCTACAGTGACTTGTTTAGTACTTGTTAGTGTTCTAGAACAAATGTTCACGGCAATTAGAGAGGAGATGAAAATTATAGACTAGAATGATAATAACTCTTTCTTTTTCTTTAACAGAAAGAAAGACTACGTCAGAAGGAAGCCAGTGTGACTGCCAACTGAAAGAAGAAAGAAGAAAATTACAGTGTGACTTCATACCTTGCATGATGCTTTACTGCACCCATAGCCCAGGGAGCACCTTATGTTAGATACTCAGTTCTGCTTTGCTGATCTCTTCCAAGACAATCCGCTAAAGACTTTTCGGTTCCTTCAGAGGGCTTTGTATGTTCAGTGGAGGGAATTCCAAGGTTTTTACATGGGAAGTCAAAATTATTTTCTGTAACTCTTCCTTACATTGCTTAACATGCATCTGGTTGTTAATAGTTATTTAAAGCACTCTGTGCATAGTGCATTAATACGGGAGAGCTAAAATGAGCATTTTGGATGCTTAGTGAAGTAATGAATAACAACCTGTAGGTTATTTACAGGGCTTTGTATAGATGAGAGTAAATACGCCATTCAACTCACAAAAGACTATTATATTGTACTTTTTGTTACTTCAGCAGTAACTGAGGTAAAATTTACTGATTCTAAATAATTTTACAGTGTCGAAGTATTGGATGCATCTTTCTAAAACTAATTAAATGTAATTATAGATTTGTGCTGTATTTTACTATATGTATTTTTATAGAAGCTTCACCTATGCCATACATTGAAATGGAAACAATATTTTGCACATGAAAAGGAATAGCTTCAAATTCTTTAGTTTTATGATTGATGGCATAACTGATTCATTATTTCTAAGGTTTTAACCTAACATTTCCTAAATTTTGAGCTTCAAAAGAAAAATAATAAAAATTTATATTTTTATTTCAGTATATATTGAAAATATTAATTCCATAAAATGATGGTTTTATTAATCATCATTCACTGAACTAAAATACATCATGTCTTCATGAAGTTACACATTTGCCATTAAATCTCTGGCTTTCAATTCTATTGAAAGCTTTCTTTTAAATAGTGAATATCTCACTCTAAAATATATTATGCGGCCTGCTCTTGTCCCCCTATAATTGTTTGAAGAATGTGTTCAGCATAAATACATATATATATATATATAT